ATGAGGATGATTCAAGGACAGTTTCCAAGAATCAAGGACAGGATGTTCTTGGAGGAGCTTGGAGACAGGAAGATTATCATGAACTTGTTGGTCAACCTCTACAACTACCAATGCAGCACAGTAGGACACAACCAGATCCTGTCGACCTTCATGAGGACCCCAGCAGCAACTGATCCGGATGAACCGTACAAGAAGAACGATCTTGCAGGGGGTTTCTTCCACGTAGGACGCGAGCTGTCCMCAGACGCGAATGGCTTGTTTGGTTGAGATCAAGGTGGAATCCCATGGTCGATTGGTTCATTTCGATTGGGAGAAAAGAAAGATTAGTGTGGAAAAAAGAAAGATTCTTAGTAAGCAAAGATTAGTACTCGACTGTAGATTAGTAAGCAACTCGACTGTAATTAGAAAACGCGGATACGTGAATAGTACAACGATACGGATAAACACGACGCAGGGGATGAACAGTACAACGATACGGGTAAACACGACGCAGGGGATGCACTTACTGGTGTTACRACAGCGCCACCATGGTCGAAGGACTGGAATGGTTGGATTCCTTAAGCATTGTTGAACTACTGCTTGATTAGCAGTCTTCGGTGAATGAAGTATGGGGAGGGGAGCAGCAAGCTGTACAGCWAGCTTTATTAGCAGCTGTGCAGCGAGCCGTACAGCTTCCTGTGATGTTCTTCGGTTTTCGTGTATACTTCCCTGGAGCCTGCTGCCGCGTCCCCTAATACACTCCAATGCAGGACTACATATCGAGTTATACTGTCATGAATATAAGTTCCCTGTTATACTGGAATGAAGATAAGTCAATGATACATACCATGTGCAAGCCGATCCGGGCTGCATGTGCATGCCGATACGAACCGTTTTTTGTCCGTWTTCGTGGGAATACCCACTTTTCGTGGGAATACCCACGTGCGGAAACAGTTCTAATCCCGCATTGGTATACACAAAAACCGATACAGGGTATGCATGAAAATTGGAGATAGACGGAATAAGTACAACGAGTACTGTCATCTACTGTTTGCAACGCGATATAACAACGATAGACTCGTACAGTACTGCTGCTGATTAGTTCATTATCTTCATTTGGATCCTTTGAATCAGTGTTGAATTAGTGTTTAGTTAGTATTAGTGTTTACGAGTTTCCGAGTATCGACAATGGCGTGTCGTTACTCAGTTTCACCATGGCCGGATTCTCYGTTTYGAGGACGTTTACCGTCATCTGGCTGGTAAGCATCGTTGTTGCCGTTTTGGGTGTTTTGCCATTGCTGGAAGCAAGCCATTGCCATTCCGAGAGCATCCTTCCACATCTGATTGGTCTCTTTGGCAATTTGGCTTGCCTCCTTTGCAATCTTAGATTGCTCCAAAGCTATCTCACGATTTTCTTTGTCCCTTACTTGTTGGCTCTTCAGATACTCGTTGAATACAGCAGCGTCAGGAACCTTGGACGAGTAGGTTCTCTTACTCGGAGTAGAGGATGGAACTTTGGATGGTCTGATCATAGAGTCGTCTGAATCATCCTCACCAGCAAGGATTGGACGTCTTCCGTGGGAAACTTCAGCAGAGGGRATCCTCTCCAAACCCCCCTCAGACTCACTTAAAATGAAGCCTTTCGTCATATCAAAGTCCTCCTCTCCTGTACCAATATTTGCTTTTTTCCCAATCAAGTAATGGGCCCGGCGCGCAAGCTTCACGTACCTAGGCATGTGTGGGTTACCAGTTGAGCTCTTCTTTCTTTTGACTGCACTGTACTTGTTCCTGATGGATTTCTTGCTTCTATCGAAGGGGAACTTTACAGCATGCTGGGTTACAACAGTATCCCACTGTTCAGAGTCAATTGGGAGCACCTCCAATATCAACTCCATGAGGCTTTCTAGCTCTTCTTCAGAGTAGTTCACTGTACCGGCTCTGCGGCTGTTGTTCGCGTTGCCATTGTTGGCGTTGGCGTTGTTTGCAACACCAGCGTCGTTGCCGTTCTGACCCACCATCTTAAGGAAAATAATGTGGGGGGAATGGGAGGACACCAGCAATGGCCGGCCTCCTCCTCCTCTCTTTGGTAACACAGAGAGAGGAGGTAATAGTAGTATATAGCAACTAAATTGGCTGGTGGGGACATTGTTTTCTATGGTGCAGGCGCCTTTGCAGAGGAGGCGCCATGGTGAATGGCGCCTTGTTGTTGCTTGCTCGTCTTAATAGTATTTCTTACAACGGAGTCTTAATTTTCTTGAAATAAGTCTTAATTTTGGCGGGCCTTTCTGTTGAGTCGTTCAACGGACTCGAAATTTTATTCTTGGATTCCTCTCCAAATGTAGAGTATTTAGGATGGGTCRGTTCGACCAGTTCTAAACGCGCTAAGTCTAGAGTCATTTTTAATAAATTTTTGGTCTGTCTGTCTATCAAATCTAGAGATTCTAGAATAACGGGAATCACCCAATATGCCGACTAACTACCATAATTTAGGTACAGTAAGGCAAACAAGAAAGAAAGCATCCGTAGCGCACAATCCCGTGCGATCCTTTGTTTCCCACGCACAGGCACTCTTGCAATACAGCTAGCTAGCTGGCTACAGTACCGTAGTAAGCTTGCGTTCTATCGAGTTCGGTCTCCGCAAGCCACAGAGTTCCCTGCCAGCAGCCCAAAGCGTTCCGTCCCATACACTCCAAAGACAGAGCAAGATGATCCACCCTCGATCGCTTTTCGTCGGCCTGGCCCTCGCCTGCCACTCGCTCGGGTGGGTGCCCCTTCTCTGGGCGTTCCGGGCGCCCTTGTACCGCGGGCCGCGGGGCAGGATCGCCGGAGCGACAGCGGCCCGGCGGTCCGCGCTTCTGGCCTCCTCGGGAGGCAGCGACCGGGAGGCGGAGCCACCGGCGCCGGAGTCCACCGTGGAAGGCCAGGGCAGCGAGACCGCGGAGAACCCACCGCTCGTGCCACCGGGGCAACCCCAGGTGCCAGACACGCGGTCCCGAGCTCCAGCGACCCGGCCGGGCCCGACTCCGATGGATCTCATGGCGGCGATGGGCACCAGCCCGCGGAGGATTTTTACGTCCTTTGTCTCGGCCACCGGGATTGCGCTGGGCGGAAATTTTCTGGGCGTGACAAGCCGCCTCCTGGCCGGGATTCCCGAGGAACGGGTCGAGGCCACCGGGATCGATACATACTTTCCACGGGGCGAGTACAAGCGGTGCCGGACGCCGGAATACACTTTTGTGATACCGAAAGAATGGGTGGCCGACACGTACGTCGAGCTCGCCAAGGCCCAGCGAAGGGTCCAGCCACTTGACTACTCGATGCAGAGAAGCGGCGGCCCCGGGAAAATCACCACCCTTCCCGACTCCGCCTATGGCCCCCCGGGCCGGTTCAACCAACAGGGCGTTTCGCAAGCGGGCGACACGAACGTGTCGGTGATCGTCTCCTCCGGCTTTTCGGGGTTTACGCTCCGGGGGTCGCTCGGGACGCCCGCCGATGCGGCCGAGACCCTCCTCTCGCGATCGATCGCCCCGGAGGGGAGCGGCCGGACCGCCACCCTGCTGCGCTCGGTCGGGGACGGGGGGGACCGGACCTACGCCTTCGAGTACCTGCTGGACCGCGGGACGAGGGGACCGCCCCTCCGGAACATTGCGGTCGTCGCGGCGTCACCCGAAGGCGACAAGCTCTATACCCTGACGGTGGTCGCCCCCGCGGAGCGGTGGAAGGACGACGGCTACGACGCGAAGCTCCGAAAGATCGCGGACAGCTTCCACCTCCGCTGATTCGATTCGATTCCGTGCGAGGCGACGCGACGCGAMGTGAACGGAAACGCGCTCGAGGGGACACAGGCCGGATGGGACGATGTGTTTTTTGTGGCGACGGAACAACACCGGCAGGCAGGCAAGCAACCATGTTCACCGGACGCCTCGTTTCCGATGGGCACCCGTTAATGGATTCGTCTACGAAACACATTCTTGCGTTTGGAATTTGGAAGGGATGATCTAGAATTTGGGCCTTTTGGGGTCGTGGGCAATGCAACTTTTCGAAATGGGATGTGTTTGTGGGCAGAACAGGGCACTAGTTGGATGTTACAGATAAAGTCACAAGACAGTGTAAAATTTCTGCACGAGATTCAAAGTGTCAAGCTACTCCCTCGATACTCGTTATGTTTTGTCAGCGTCCACCCACAAATTGGGAATGGAGATGAAAATGAAAGACTAAGAGGATGACAAAACAGGCTAAATAGGGAACAAAAGATCATTGAAAGAGCAATCGAAAAGCAGCAAATTATCCCTTCACAGCAAATCAATCGTTGGAAACAAAATAGGCTACATTACAACAGGACCAAATTTATTTTAGCTTCCCCAGGTATCGGCCCTTGTACGGTAGACATAGAGAATACGGTATGCGTTAGAGAATAATACAAAATCTGTTGTGCATACACATCTTTCATGCGTTTTTACATGGGACGATCACCATTTACGATTTTACCATGTACCTTCCCTACTACTAGACCCATTACTAAAATGGAACCAGCAGGCGCTACTTAACAGAGGAAATGAAGCGTTTGAATCAAACCTGTGAACTCCATACCAAACTTGATACTTAGGGGGGCTGAGAGAATTTCAAAAATTATTCTGGTAGAGCGAGATATATCTTGGTAGCGTTTGTGGTAGCAATCTGGTAGCATTGATGGTAGATGGGTAAGAATACTGAATTGCTACCGGATTGCTACAATAAATGCTACCAGATACTGGTAACTATTCTGGTAACCGTTGTGGTAAACACTTAGTTCACATCAAAGTGGAGCATAAATAAAGCAATTTTTGTTCCTGGACTGCTGTTTTGAACTGACCAAACTTTGATAGGACTGCTTTACAGGATTGGTTCATAAACAGCAGCAGCTGCTACCATCCTCCTCTAAGAAAAGCAAGTTTCAGGGAGATCAAAGTTGGAATCCAGAACTGGTATACCGGAAATCAGAGCTATCAAAGCAGATTGCTTGGTACAATTTTTGGCTCCATTTGAATACAGCTAGAGCAGAAGGCTGGGACCCTGGCAACAAGCCTTCTTCTGTTTACAACTACAGAAGCTCAGCTTATATTCAACAACACATCAAATCATCAAGTTGGCCTTAGATTGGGAAGGAAGGTTGTTGTCGCATATGTCGTTGTCAACACATACCACAAATTGCTCACGTGTTTGTTAGTCCTTTAGAGTACTACTATGGCAACACTTGCTCAAGATCTACAGAAGCAAGGAATCCATCTTGTTGATCCATACAAAGAAGTAGAAGAGAAGTTTGTAGCAATTGTCAGAGCCAAGGAGGAAGAGGAAGAGGAATTGTCTGAAGGAGAAGAATACTGTTCAGAATTGGAAGACAAAGAAACAACCCCCACAATGCCACGCAACATGAAGAGCAGACAGCAAACAGCAGATGAAATGCTTTCAGAGCTTGCTGGTAACATGTCGGTCTCCAAGAAGAAGAGTAAATGTGCTGATAAGATTGATCTTCAGTGGGTTTCTGGATCTCTCATGTATCCAGCTCTTTCTGGAACATACCACCACCATACTGATGATATGGTGAACTATTGCTTGGTGAGACTGGTCATGCACACTGGGGGAGCAAGGAAATCAGACTATGTCCTTCAATGGATTGATGAATATACCTTTCAGGTGCAATACAAGTGGCCCATTTTTATGAGACAGTGCATGCTTTCTTTGGTTAGTTGTACCATCATGGTTGAGCTGTTTTGCTTGATGTGAGATAAAAGAACTTCTACTGGTTCTTTCGCTTTGTTCTACTGTTCAAGACTTATTAAGTTGACAATTGTTAAGGGGGAGAGATTGATACTAGTCACTGGTTCTAAGAGTGAGTAGAAGTGCTTGAAATAGAGCTCATTTCCATGGTCAACAGTATCAAAAACAGTATTTTTCTGAATGTTCTTTGTGTTTGCTGAGGGGGAGGACCACCAGTCCTCCTGGGTCAAAAAATGTAGAACCAGTAGGATTTTGAACGCGAAATAAAAACCAATCCATTTTGCCCAAAATGAACAGGTAAATACCCCTGATTGCATGTTTTCTACAAGATTTCTATACAGCTTTTGTACTACAAACCTCTGAAGATTGAATTTTGCTCTAGCCGCTGGTGGTGAAGGAGCAGCTGCTGGCTGAGCTGCTGGCTGGCTTTAATCCCGGATCATTGCTCATACTACTATTAATTAACTATTGTGCAGTTTGCAGGTGCACAAAAATATCAGTCCCAGGCACCTCAAGGAAACTACTATTGCTACCTCATCATTTGTTACCATCTTGCTACCATCCGGTAGCAATCTGGTGGTAGCATTTCTATTCTGAACCTGCTGGTGGTGCTGATAACAACTCTTTTTCCTACTGCTACCATAAATCTTTTTTGTACTAATATTTAGATTCTCTTAGTCCCTTCCCCAAAGTTTCAGTCCTTGTACAMAATACGTGTCATGAATGAATGCTGTGTTTAGAGCGCCAGCAAGTTAACATTCTTATTGCCAGAGTGGTATTGCCTGGTAGCATGCCTGGCGTGGTAAAATAGTCAATGATGATCGTCCCTGTAATACGACTAAACGGTGCGAGCTAGCGGGTATTTTATCTAGAAACATTTACATTCCCGTTTCGATGATCACTTGCTCCTTCGTTGAGCGCACTTTTTTTGTTTTCAGAAGGAATAAACTACGTACACCCCCTACTTGCACCGTACTTTGTATGACTCGCATAAAGCTCTATCTTCGAGCACCTAAATGGATCGTCAAAAATTCATCCTATGATCTACTAATCTTGGAACGCTTACTGTAATAGAAACCGCGCACGAACAGTTGAGAACAACGCGAGCATGCACGTATCTAAGAGTGACGGCGAAAATATCATTAGAGAAAATAGGGTGCACGACAAACGCTTCACAAAATTAATAGTGGTAGGTCTCTAGCGTGTTTGGCACCACATTCGCTTACCAATAACGGGTCACACATCAAAAAACAATATAACAAAACTGATTCACAAAGGAAAACGTAGAGGAATCTGAAGCATCGATAAGATCGATACACAGTGCAAGAAGCGTCTGAAAGATAGATAAAGAAAGAGGTTTGCAGTGATGGAGCTTGGATTCCATGCCCTTTTTTGCTGTTTGCCCCATGCGACGTCCGCTAGTGGGGTAGTCGATGAACCTAACGAATATACCCAGAGTCAAAGGAGACCGCGAGCTCGAGGACGTGATCGAGGTCGTTCTAGAACACCAAAAACCAACATCAATGCTTTGTTCGGTTTCAGTTCTAGAGCCACGCTTGATCCGTCGGAGTCAACTCTGGAAGAGGACGAGATACTTGAGATTCCAACATCGGACACCACTCTGAAGACAAACAAGAGGAAACGCCGGCTTCACAAGCCAAAAAGAAGACGGCATCGATCACCACGAAACAAGACAGGGAGTATTCGAGACACTAAAGTTTATGGGAGTCACTCCAAAGCAGAAGAAAAAGGAACGAGGCACGAAAACAAGCACGGCAAGAAGAAGCGTTGGCAGAAAGGACGACGCGGCCGCGAAGAAGATTCGGGTTTAGAAGGAATGGAAAACCCGAACGAAGAGAATCATCCAGTTGTGTACGACACGATAAAGAGAGAACGGACAAATGATAATAGTTCTGTATCTACAACGAGCATTACTAGTACGATTGACACACAAGAAGAACGAATCGAGGTAACGATAGAATCTAGCGAATTATTCAGAGGGGGGAAGCACGAGAAACTGAGACCTCCATCAGTTCTGGTGAAAAGCATCATTATTTTCTCTCAAAAGGTTAACATCGGAAGGACGCATATGAAGAATAAACTAAGAAGAAACTGATAGGACCCATGCTCAGATGAATTGAAGTCTTCCAAAATTATCTTGTCACGTGGGCTAAATCAGAAAATCGATCGACAACCGATCAATTCAAAGACAGGCTCTGCGCAAGCCCTAAAAATGCAACGCAGAATCGTAAACATGGCAAAGCCAGTGAAACCCTGATTTCAGAGTAAAGAAGACATCTTATCAACAAACTTTTACTGTCGCTGTTTCGCTAGATCCAATGAACGCAATGTATATCTTAGGATTTTCTTCTACCTTCCTTTTTTTCGTCAAAATCCAACATGTGTACTTGGCATTCTACCAATGCGCATGACAACTAATTGGCAGCCTTGACGTTGTCTGTATCTTCAACTTCTCCTTTCATCATAGCAATGTCGTGTTCCACCATTTCCTTCACTAATTCCTCGAAGGTGGTCGTAGCCTCCCAGCCAATTTTCGCTTTCGCCTTCGTTGGATCGCCAAGGAGAAGATCAACTTCTGTTGGACGGAAATATGCAGGATCGATCTTGACGAGAACGCGGTCCTCGTTGCCTTCTTCCACGCCAACTTCGTCAACTGTACCGGTTGGCCCCTTCCATTTCAAAGTGATGCCTGCGTGTCCAAAGGCCTTCTCGAGAAACTCTCGGACAGAATGTGTTTCACCCGTAGCCAAAACGTAGTCATCGGGTTCGTCTTGCTGCAACATTCTCCACATTCCTTCCACGTAATCACGCGCATGTCCCCAATCGCGCTTCGAATCGATGTTACCAAGGTAGATGCAATTGTCGAGACCGCAAACAATTCTTGCGATACCGGCAGTAATCTTACGGGTCACAAATGTTCGTCCACGACGAGGCGATTCGTGGTTGAAGAGAATACCATTTGTCAAATGCATCCCATACGCCTCGCGGTAGTTGACCAAAATCCAAAAGGCATATTGCTTCGCCACTGCAGATACAAAGCGCGGGTGAGAAAAACGCCGTTCCAAGCAAATTTAAAAGGAGATACCCAATACGTGAAATTTAAGATCGACTGTAATTTTCTTACCAGCGTATGGCGAACGGGGATAAAAGGGAGTGGTTTCGGATTGGGGGGTCTCGACAACTTTTCCATAAAGCTCACTGGTAGATGCTTGGTAAAATCGCACGTCATTCTCCATGCCCGCTGCTCGGATTGCATCCAACATTCGAAGGACACCAATCCCGTCGACATCAGCTGTGTACTCGGGCATATCGAAGGAAACCTTCACATGACTCATAGCTCCAAGATTGTAAATCTCGGTTGGTTTGATTTTCAAAAGCAGGGTGATGAGATTGGTTCCGTCGCAAAGATCACCGTAGTGAAGAAACAACTTGACATCAGAATCGTGACGATCCCTATAAATGTGATCAATCCTTCCCGTGTTGAAACTCGAAGAACGACGGACGATACCGTGAACCTAGAGACAGCGTGACAAACAAATAATACTGGTGAGAAAGTTGCCACAATTGAGGCGCTTGGTATACGCCACGGCAGGCGATGTGACGTAGCGGGTACCTTATAGGTTGCCCCGCCCCATTGGGTTCGATGATCATCATTCCCAGCGGATAGGACAATCCATCAAAGAAATGCCACGAGTGTGAATATCTCTTCCAGATAGACCAGGGTGTGGTTTTATAGACTTTGCTATTCCGCAACTACAATCGAATCGGGCTACCGAAAAGCCCCGAGTACTTGTCAGCAAAATCGACAACAGGCGTTGGATTTAACGCTGACTCACAATGTATCCTTTTTTTAGCAGCAAATCCGCAAGATAAGAACCATCTTGTCCGGTAATTCCGGTGATCAGAGCCACTTTATTTCCATTTTCATTAGCGGCCATGGTCATGTTTTTCCTGATACTAATTTATGTTATGACTTCAAAAGTATTTTTCTCTCTTTTTAAAATTTAAGAATTTCATTTGAATTATGACTGTGATGCCGATGTGCTCGCATGAATTTTTTAGCAAGTGGACCGTCCGATCCCCTCGACTCGAGTTCTGTGAATTGGCTCGCTAACGGAAATAGTTTCCAGGGGTCATAATTTAGATGGGGCGAGTTGCATCCAAAACTTATTCCATGTGTGTCCGAAACCGGTACGAGGTTGTGGTCTGAAATATCGCGTCCGATATAACAGGTTATGAGTCATAATTTTGCGAGTCATTTTGAATAATCAGCTAAAGCTTTGCTTGCTTGTTAATGCTACCAAAGCACCAATCAGAATTTGAGAATCCATTAGCCGGAAAGGGTTTTCTTTTGTCTTTCCATACATGTGCATATTGTATGTGTTTCTTGCCAGAGAACCTTTTCCGGCTACTTGATTTCTCTGCGCACGGAATTTTCCGAAAAACTCATTAACACAACCTCCAGCATAGGGACCTGTCACCTCTTTAGTTCAACACTTTAACCAACACTAACAGCGCAATTGATATATATGACCTCTTCATTATAACAAGGACAGGGGGATCTGGAAGTCTCGGATTGATTGACCAAGTGGTTTAGAAGAAACACTAGATCTAAGCAACACTGAAAAATTGTCGTGAAAATTAGCACCTCCTCCTTATCAGCAGCCTCATATCAGCGTCCTCCTCCTTATAAACAGCCTTGTATCAGCAACCTTGTATCACGCTCCTTGTATCAGCAGCCTTGTATCAGTGTCCTCCGTATCAGTGTCCTCCGTATCAGTGTCCTCCGTATCAGTGTCCTCCGCATCAGCAGCTCCTCCGTACGAGTACCATATAAGCAGCCTCATAATAGTTCCAGGTGGAACTAAGTGACAGCTTGAGCTCCAGGGTGTAATATATTGCACTGTTCTTCACGTAGGCCTGTGTAGAAATAGTACCAGAAAAAGGCTGTCAAGCAATAGATAACACCACAACCTCGTAGGAGTTTCATAACAAGTACACACGGTCTTGCCCAGAGAGCAAAAAGTAATGATTTGAAGTTCTAAACTTCGATTTGAAGTTATGAGCTTTTGCTTGTACATCATGTACCAGGTGGTTCTACTGCTGAGCTAGTTTTTTAACATGACTGAATGGCCAAATCATGATTCCCCTCAAAACAAAAAAATGGTTCAGGGGGGCAATCAATCATGACTCAATCATCAATGCCATCCAAAAACTAGCTCAGTAGAACCTAGTACTACACTTTCTACCTGAAGTTCTTAACTTCAAACGGAAGTTTAGAACTTCAAATTATTACTACTTTTTGCTCTCTGGGCAAGACGGCGTGCAATTGTTATGAAACTTGTAGTATGTCACCCCAGGATTTTTGACAACTTCATTTTTAATTTTTAATGCACATCACTGCAAAAAGTGTACCTGAAAGACCCCCTACACAGGAATACTTCCAATTATTCTCTGATTTTCAAACTTCATATGCACATCTCTCATATAGTTGGGAGTCAGGTAGTAAGTGTTTCTTGGATTTTAATCCTCCTCTCTGTGTGTAGTTTGAGTTTTCATGTAATGAAACAGAGCTGGTAGTACTGCTGCTAGGCTATTACTGTAATTCTAGTAGAAATAGTCTGTCCTCCATCCAATTTTGTGAAAACAGTCCAGTCCCTAACAAAAATCCAAACAGTCTGTCCTTCATCCGTTTTGCTTACTACTTTTCCAGTACTAATTTGTCATGTAATAACAAAAGAATGATAGCACAAAAATCCATTTGATATCCAAGAAAATTACACATTCAGAATCCTCATAAAAAACTGGCATAGACAGGCTAGTAAAAATGTATATTATCAATATTTTTGATGAAGTTGTTACTACTTTAAAGGTGAACAGTTTTTCTAGTAGTAGTATTATCATGCAGAAAAATGAAGTTGTCAAAAATCCTGGGGTGACATTTTCCAATTTCGAACACACATGGAATAATGAAATTCTGATCCTGTGCAAGAAAAAATTCTGTTGTGCACCCCTCTATTTTATGACCCCTGATAGTTTCTACTGTACAAAAACTAAGTTAGTGCCAGTAAGAAGGTGGAAGTTATGCTCTGAAAAGAATGTACTAGTAGTAGTAGAAGCTATTCAATGAAAGCACTGTGGCTGTTTGTTCTTTCTGCAATAGGTATTCTTCTTCTTGCAGACATGAAACTTTTGCTGTTGCTGCAGTGTTTTGAGGAGTTACAGTGATCACCTTTTTTTCAGTCTCCTTCTTCAAAAACTACCTTCATCCATTCAACTTTCTCAGCATCTACTATCTACTAACATAAAATCCATCAATGTTGATAATTTCACAATCTTGATGCACATTTTTCAGTTTGACAACATGGCTCCATTTCTTTTTACTTTTCAACATCTATGATGTCATTGATCATGAAAGGTCTGCCAACATGCAATTTCAACATTAGATCTGCCTTTTGGAAAATTTGTTTGCACCTGCAACAATGTCACCAGCATCTGATGTGGCAGGTAGCAAGTACTATTTCTGAAATTCTGGCATGTCATCTCTGTATTTTTTTGTCTATCTGCAGTTTTAGGTTTTAGGCCATGACTACAATGGTGTGACCTGGTAATCTCTTGTTTATATTTTTTAGTATTGTTTTGAGAAACTCAGAATATATGCCATCATTATTACACATTTGTTTGCATTGCTGTATGTTGCATAAGCAATATCTTCTGGGAATTTGTCCCAAGGTTTTACAATTCTTGAATTTATGACTTGAACATGCTCTTCTTTCAAGCCTTTTGTTCTTACTAAATCATCAAGAAGCTCTCCCAAGATTGGATCATCTTTAAACCTGTGGTTTGTTTTAATTTCAAGAAATGTGTTGATTCTTTCTCTCCAAAGATAGAAATCTTTTTTGAACATAGGGATTCTCCTCCCACTGGTTTGAGTTGATTGAAGTCACCTGCAAAGACATTTGTAGATTGCCATACAGATAATATGATGGCTTGTCACATAATAAGTTCAGATACTCATTCAATGTTTCAATTTGTTTGATGCTAGCAAATGATATCTTGTCAACAATGAGTAGGCAAGTCTCATTTTCCCATGCATCATCCTGTGTAACATTGGATGTGTCACAATTAAGACAGTTAGCTATGTCTTGTTTCCCCATTGATATTAAGAACTGTTGCTGTTCAAGTCATGTCAGTGACAGCCAGAGTTCTGTTGGAAAAGTTCACTCCCAATTCTTTGCAAAGTATCTTACAATAAGTGTCAAACACAATGAATTTCCTGGTACCACCACCAGCTCCTGATAGAAAACAGATGAACTACTTGTCTTTGTTGCTCGTGGTTGCCTTGAGATATTCTAAGTCTTTGTTGCAGCAAAAATTACCAATTAATCTTCCTGTGGAATCTTTTGTTCTTGATCTTTCAGGTGAATGTAGAGATTTTTCATGAACTTTACTAAAAACAAAAGCTGCAACAATCTGGGAAAATCCATTTTCTTGGTCTTTGTCATTTTGAAAATTCAACTTTGTTGCATACTAGTGTCTGATATTTTCCAACCTTCCAGTAAATGTGAAGTTTTTCATAGCTTTTGCATGATCAGTCTATGGGTGATAAAATCAAAACTTTTGTGTAGAATTTGATACAAATGACTTCTTGGAAGCTCGTTTGGTTTTGTATTTTGGTCAAGATTTAGGATGTCATCTGCAGACATAACCAAGTCATCTGAATGTAAGTTCTGAAGAGAAATTTCATTTGATTCTGGTGTGACTGTGGTGGATGTTTTCAGCAATGTTCTTCCACACTTGTGGGAACCTTGATTTGTGACAACTAAAGTGTCAATTCGTAGCTTTTTGAACCTGTCTGTGAACTCAATCTGACCTTGATCATATGTCATATCCATATTGTAAAGATAGTACTAGAACCATTGCTGTTTTAGCATATTTTGCCATTGCCAACAAGTGATGATCAGTATCTTTTAGACAATCAATGTTAAGATCAATTGGGATGCCTCCAAAGTTTTCACTGTTTTGAAACTTTTAAAAATTAACTGTTTCCCGTCTCTGCCCAAATCATTCATTTTTGGATTTTTTTTTGAGTTTCCATGATTTTCACCTGTGTAGACCGCAGTTCAAATCCTACACAAAATAAGACTGAAGTACCTAAGAGTAGTAAACAATTACTTTGTATAAAACACCTTTTCTGCTCATTCATTTCTCTCCTGGTAATATCTAGTAAACATGAAAATATAAAACACTCCAAACCAGAATATAAACTATCACCCAAACCATCATATTTACCAGCAACATAAAATAATCATATCACAACCACAATGGATAGTATTGATGATTCTTTTTCTGATGGTTGGGAATTGTTCATACTATGGTCATACAACTAGTAGTGATACAGACCTATCTGACAACAGTGGTGGTGGTACCTGCACCCCCACAGTAGGAGCCCCTCCCAAGAAGATGACAGCAGTGTTTTCAGTGGTGATACTACTAGTAACAGTTCTCTTGGAACAAGTCTTTCTGATGATGCCCCTTACTACTACTACAACAATGCTCCCTTTGACAACAAAATTCAAGAACTCCTCCTTCATCTTGAAGACCTCTCTGATTCATCTGATCTGGAGCAGGATGAATTGGAACATCTTCTCCAGGACTCCTCAGTTCTCATGAGTCCCACTAAAATTCTTCCTGCTGGTACACATATGTCTTTAGATGGTGATGAAAAAGCACACAACAATGACCATGAAGAAGAATGCAACAACAATGTCACTCAGCATCAATCTCCTTGTGTCAGGAATGTTGTGCAATTCTTTGAACAAATATATATAGCACAAGTCCACCCAAGAGGAGAGGAGATCAGCTCTGTATAGGAGTACTAGTACTAGTACTGCTGGAAGTATCATTCATGATTATCTTCAACAATGAAGAGTTGGTTGTTGGTGGGTTTCATTTGAGGATGTTGAGACTGTTAACAGTCAAATACTGTCAACAAAGCTTGCATTAGTGTCATGGTGACATGGAATGGCAAGAAGTTGTTGGGTGATGATGCAGAGGAGTGGTCTCCTCCCCCCTCTGCCCAGTATCCATCACCTGGAGGAGATGCAGCCCCAGGTCCCACTCGTGCTGTAAGGAATACATTGGATGGCTGCACTACTAATAAGGTGGAAGGGTTGGTGCATTTGTTCTTGTTCTTGTTGTTTGATGAAAGAATCCTTCAACTACTAATAGCAAATGGTGATCCCACCACCAGTATACGTTTGAAGATTGCACTGGAAAGCTCCATATGATGAAGGTTCTAAGCCAGAGTGGATGCCACCAAAGACTTCAAAGAATGGAAAATACCCCCACCATTGTGATTGTGGGATTTGTTTCTTCTTTGCTCCTCTGCTGCATGAACAAAATTACTACCAGCACCAGCACCTTTCTTGCTTGTGGAAAGGTAACTTCAAAGCCACAGGAAGAAATATTCAGTGACAAGTATGAAGGAGTGAAGAGGAACTATTTTGTTGCCTGTGTAGAAGAAGCAAAACATAGGTATCCTACTACTAACTCATCAGTGAGGAGGAGGAGATTGAGGAAGAAGTTGCCATGGGGGATTACTAGTAGTACTACTACTAGTAGTAGCACTACTACTAGTACTAGTAGTAGTATGAAAATGTCAAGGAATGGTTGCAGAAGTTGCAATGTTGCTGTATGCAAAGAGCATTGGGGTAACTTCAACCATCAAGTGTGGTGATGTGTTACTACTACTATAAATGAATGTATTTGTATTTGTTGAAATATATTCTTATGGGGTGTGATAAATAGAGTACTACTACTAGTGGTAGCAAAGGGGAAAAAAAATCCTCAATTTTCCTGGTGGCAACATTTGGCAACACGCGACGGGAAAAAGTTAGCCAATTCTGATGGGAACAAGAAAATTCATTCATTGGTATTCATTTTTGTTTTTGATGATTCGCCGCCGATCACAAAAGATGCTCGTTCTACCGTTGAAACGCTTACGCGAAGAAATCGCGCCGTTTAAAAAAACGCTATTTTTGACCTGTCACACAGCACAGATATTGACAGCTGACAAAAGCTGTGTCGTGTGCTCATTAAGAGAGAAAGATCTGTTGCTGGATGGAATTATTCATCAAGACGTATTCGAGAAGCGTAGTCGGCTGATATTCAAACAGAGATACCATGATGAAAGAGGAAGAGCCTGGCGGTATCCTCGATAGCTTCTGGGCTATATTTCTACAAGATTATGATCACATCGACGACGACAGAAACTCAGTAGGATCAAGCGCCGAGACGCTTTCTTTTGATGAATATGAAAGTTTCAAAGAAGGAAGGTCTGATATAGACAGAGAAAATCCGTTGATAGATGCAAACAGTAAAGATGAAAAAGAATTAAAAATGTCGATTCTCTTGGATTCTTTAAGACGATCGAATGATCTCCTCACGAAAATGCCACCCCGACATCGCACTCCAATATCTCATGAATCGGAAGACATTGACAAATCAAGACTCCAACATAATACTCCAGAGCATGAGTATTTGGAAAGCTTTAACTTTAAAAAAACAGAACCGCAACATCGCACTCAGATGAAAATTAAGAGAATGGAGACTGGTAGACACGCAGACTTAGGTAGAGAACCGGAGCGTGAAGAGCCCCCTAAAACAATTTTTATCGACGCGCAATCGGATGTGGCAAAAGTCGATAGAACGGCCAGGGCGACCCCAAAATATAATATTCGGGAACAGAATGGTGCTTCTGACGATAGAAACGCGCCAACGGAGCTAACACGAAGGCAAACTGAAGAATCACCTCGTGATGATCAAGGGGGAAACTATGATGAATATTTACAACCGATAGAGGAAGAAAGTAACGAAATGGATCTAAAAGCTGCCCAGAGAAAAGAATTGATCAGAAAAATAGCTCTGTTGCGTATCCGAGCAAAACAGATCAGAAACTCAAGAGGCTACAACTGAATATACTGCATTGCAACTTTAAATTATTAATCGAAAACATTCTGAAAGATTTGTTTGAAAATCTCAGCTGATGCTCAGTTATTTTCGTACCATATGCTTCTTTCTGATAACCCAAGCAATTGTAGTTATCTTATTGGTCAAGGAGGAGATCAACGAAAAGCAAGAAGCAGGAAGTTCGTGGGGAGGATTGGTCAGTAAGAATGCTTTCTACTAGTTGCTTTACAAGACTGATAAGGTTGGCCAGAGAGAACCATGATTGCATATTCTACTACTGCGAGATGCTAACGACTACAACATACAAATATCGAAAGACAAATAAAGTATGTTTGTGATGAAACCGGCTCCTTTCTTTGGTTTTCCACAAAGCAAATTAAAGATCCAATTCGCGATTGACGCTGTCAGAACAAGTACAGAATTATTACTGTATTTCTTTGTATCTTTTAAGCCTATTATTACAGTAATAAAGTACTTTTGTAATCGCTCTTGTAGACGAGGTTGTGACGTTAAATTTACAGTTATAAAAAAACATCTGTCCAAATGAATCTTCGTAATCAATCGTGAAACCAGAAATTGGGTGCGCTATAACCCTTTTTGGCGTGACACCACAATACGAAAAATTAAGTTTTCAATGGTCACCTTTCGGCGGCATGTGTGACCGGTGCATGCAAGAACGAGTTCGATATCCGTGCAAGTACTGTTACGAGTACGAGTACAAGTACTCGGACGTACCTACTATTCGGCTTTCTTTTTTCTACAGGACAAAACAAGGGTCCGTTGATCGGAAAATTAAAAAATGGTTCGTCAAGGGCTCATTTAGGCCAATGCAACCTGTCATCGTCTGGTCTTTCTAGATTTTCAACAATAGTAGGCTCACATCTTGCAATAGGAAAAGAAGCTCTAGTTTCGAATAAGATGAAAACTGAGCTATCCCGATCGTTGAACACCTTTTTTCCCACGATAGTTGAGCCAATGGGTAAGAAAACCTCGGGAACAGCGAGAGTTATTGGTGGAGTGGAGTACAAAAATGATCGCATGTTCAGCATGATTCTTGACGAAAACGCCGGGCCTATGGACGGTGAAAGGAGGGAAGGCAAAGGAATTGAGCAGTATAGTGCGGGTGTGAAGCGTCGAATCTACAGAAGATACAATCGTCCAATTTACAAAGAGCCCGGATCAAAGATACCTCGGAAGACTTGCCAGAAAAAGGATCCCAACCAACAATTTGTAACAACTCGTTATGAACCGTCCACGGCGATGCCATACCATTCAACGATACTAAGTAGAATATTTGGAGAAGATCATTTCGTTCACAACATTTCCGATTCAGTCAATCGTTCGAACGGATTGGACCCTCTTGTTAGCAAGCCTATAGACCGCTACTCGGTTAAGGCTGCAAACGAATCAATCACCATTGGAGCTAGACAGCTTCAGGGAATGCAGAAAGTACGAAGAAAATCTCATGTCAGCAATTCAGGCACAGATACTGACTGCGGATCAGTTATATCGGTGACTGATCTGGACAACCTTGAGGCGAAAATGCTTCGTCGAAAGATATCTGAAAGGGATCTGAAATTGCTTCACAGAGAAATTGGCCTAATGGTCTCTGATTACGTCGACCAAAGGGTAATGTCACAAAATGAAGAGAGACAGGGATGGGGATCTGGCGATGGGTGTACATCGGCCGGATGTATTAGCTATTTGCGGGATGGAGGGCCTGGTATGCAAGAATTTTTGAATGACGTCAAAGCTTATGTGTATTCCACGTCCTAACTGAAAAATAGTGCTTTTCAATTGAACATCCATAAAATAGATCAATCAAAATCTTAGTAATCGAAAAGGTTTAGCAGATTCTCAATCATACACCTTCTACATTCAATTACTATTTAATGATACCTACTGTACGACGTACATCCATTATGCATTGCCCTATTAACTTCTGATAAACTCGAAAATGAACAGAGAATCGGGTTGGTTAGTGAAGGAACCTGGAGAAATAGGAAGTTGTCCGAAGCCAAAACATTGGTGTCTAAAAAACCTTGAATGCCCTCCTATACTACGTGCTATTTGAAACTAGTAGTAGTAGCAACCCTAGTACTAACAACTTAGGATCGTCTTCTTTCTTACTGTATCTTTTACTAACAAAAGCACCTAGTATCCATCCCAGACCTTTCCTCTGAAAAACAACACCTGGAATATATGCTAAATACCACTCAGTTTGAAGATTCTCAAGCCTCGGCTCCATGCCCCAGTTCCAGTACTTTTGCACTGCCAGAAGAAGCTTCCAGTCACAATGTTGTTGTTTCTGACATTTGTGCCCAGCAACAACAACAACAACAACAACAACAACAACAACAACAACAACAACAACAACAACAACAACAACAACAACACCTACCTGTCTCTACAACCACATTCTCTAAGAAGAAGTGTCACAGATCTGCAATCATTGTCATAACTAAACCCAAATACTCTGTATTTATAGTCATGCCTCCATCACACCTCCTCAGAGGCAGAGCTAGTACTAGGAGCATTCTTCTTCTCAGAAGTTTTCTTTCTGGCCATCATAGTACCCCTTTAAGTTCTCAAGGATAAATATAATATTAAGATTTTTTTCTGTTTCTGACATTTAGGTCCAACAAAAACACCCATCCAAGGCCCCAGTATCTAACTCGGACCCCTGGAGTATGTACTAGCTAAATGCCACTCAGTTTGTTGAAGATTCCCCAGCCTTATCTCCATGCCCCACTTCCAGCCTGGAAGAAGCTTCTGGTCACAATGTTGTTGTTTGCAACTGTGCCAGGCAACAGTAACAACAACCCAAACCCCAATTTAGATTTATTTGATCTGTCCCCAGTCTCTTTGCACCCTGTACTATGCATTACCATCAAAAGCTTGTCCATGATCCCTTCTCCAAAAAGAAGCAATCACACCATTGACACTTTACCTCCACAAAATATCCTGAGTTCAGCCTGCCTCAGGCCTTCATCATGATGTGGTCTGTGATGAAGCATAGAACTGGTTGCGCCCCCACAAACCTCCTCAGAGGGAGGTACCACGCCTTGGAGTGACTAGGACAACTTCTTCCTAGTCAGGAGAAGTAATGGGTCTGGTTGACTTAGTGCCTCTTCTAGTTCACAAGTTTAAATGCAGTATTAAGATTTTTGGTAGTAGCATGGTAATAAACAACAACAAGAAGTAGTAGTAGTATTTTTGCTGTGAATATATAAAACTAAGTGTCATAAGAGCTAAAACTAAGTGTCACAAGAGCTCCTTTTTGTTTCTCTTTGTTCTTGCTTGTCACCTTTTTAATAAGGAGAAACAAAGGGAATACTTGTTATATCTAGGCAAGATTCTCTGTCTTTGTTTTAAAACCAACACAGTGAAATGATGGGGGTATATTCTCATTGTTTAAACAAACAGAAAGAGGCAATATACTCTTTGTTTCTTTCTTATGATGTTTAGACAAAGAACTAATAGAATCTTGTTCCTCTATATCCAAGAGAGTGTTCTAGACCTCTCTTATCCTTTGCAAGGTTAATTTTAGAATGCAAACAAAATTAAGAAATAATTTCTTTGCGCAACTCAATTTTTTTAAATATACAACATGGAATTCATGGGATCTGCATCCAGAGAGTTTTGTTGTCCCCATCACCAGAATTTTGGTGAAAGCCTCTACTTGACCAATTTGAATAAAAAGTGCTAGGTGAGGGCTGGAGATTGCTGGGAGAGTGACAGAGGACATGGCAGACTGGGGAAAGTGCTGTAGATTCAAATAGAACCAACGTTGGGATTTGTGGGTGGACACCATGATGGGAAACCGAAATCAGATATCTTGAATGAAAATTTTGAGTTGTCAAAGGAACAGCCAATTGAAATTTTAAAAAGGAGAAACAAAAACTTGAAGGCAACTCAGGAATTTTAGCAATGAAAACGAACTACGGTATGTACTAATAATATCTTAGGGGGGATTCTCTGACAAAGTGTGATTGTGTTGACCTTTGTATGGTATGTGTACTTGTCATGAACATGATGTAACAATAGTGCCACAGACATACACATTAAGGATTGGAAACATATGAATGAAAGACTCTGTGGTTGGGATAATCCCGCCATGAAATTCCAGGTAGGTTTTAATTGTTTCATAAAAAAAGTACTATTAGGTAGGAGGTAAAACTACAAAACACACCAGAAAATTTGAGCATTGTGGAAGTGAAATTGGTTATTCTGAAAACTGGGCAGGCATAGGATAGTATAACACTGTACTACTGGGCCACGATGTAAAGTAAACACTGTGAAGTACAAAGTTCATGAAGCACGTGCACCTTATGAATGACACTATGACAAGTGAATACTGAGTGGTACTATACTACTAGGCAGTGAGCTCACAACATGTCATCATAATACTCAGACTTTAGTGAGAAAGAATTACAAAGGTAAGTGCTGATCAKGTATGCATGGGAGAGTGATCTTCAGACATGGTGACTTAGTGTCTAACACTGCTTTGTCAATGTGCTACATGCATAGAAGATAGCTCAGCAGGGAATGTACCCCAAGGCTTCCCTGGACATGTGTTGATACAAACCAGTAAGGAAACTAGAGAGGTTGGAAGGAGTAGAGAAAGATACTTCCTGCAGAAAGACTACAGGAGGGATTGTAGCAAAGTGTGTAATAGGAGCCATTGGACCAAAGGATCAAGAGTTTGAGAAAAATGTATACAGGAACAAGTTAAGCAAGTTCTGTAACGTGAGCAACAAGGCTCTTGCATTGGTGGTACTCATGTTCAACAAAGATGACTCATGGACTAAACCAAACAACACTCTGGAAAAACAAAGAAAAAGAAAATGGTTCACTGACAGTGCTTTGGGGAGAAAGTAGGGATGGAGTATCACAGGAAGAACATCAGTCAGAGACATTTGCATGGAGATTCAAAAACAAGGGGAGGAACAAGGATCAAAGGACATGAAAATGAGCTGCTGCAACAATGATTTGTAGAGGAAGGAGGAAGGAATTTGAAAGAACGAGAAGAAAGGGAAAACAAAAGAGCACAACATAGAAGGATAGAGATATAGTTCAACCTGGATGAAGCGGTGGATAAAAACAGCGCAAAATATATGCTGCTGTGCTTGCCCAATAACTGAATACAGAAAAAAGAGAAATTGGTAAATGAAATTTCAAAAAATGAATTAGTTCAAAATGAGTGAGTACTACGTAATACATTAAACATAGAAAAGGTTAGAACAGAGCCTTTTGAGAAAAGGGAATATTATATCGTGGCGACAGAAGAATAGATTCAGAAGAAAATGATATTTGGAGAGAATAGTCTTAGAAATATTGAATCAGAAATGGCAATTCTGTGTTTGGGTTTCTGATGTTTTGGGAGCACAAATGAAATGTATTGAGATGTAATGAAAATTCAAGTGATTGGGTGGGGAGAAAACAATACTGGGGAAATGTATTACTAAATATTTTTAAAATTCAATTGGAGAAGAAATTATTAAACCAAAAATAAAAATATCAAATTGGGAATGAAACAACAAGGCTAGCTATGGGGTGGGGAATGTAGGACACAATGAGGCAAATTTTCTGAGACATGCAACAACACAATAGGTGAGAAAATTTTGTTGGTTCATTTCAAGAAAATATTTCCACTGCAAAAGTGCTTTATGTGACATTCTTGTAGTACTACTTTCCCCCACTAACACAAGTGTTGCCTATGGTTAGTTACTACGTTACCACAGCTGATTATGGTAAGAACAGAATTCTTGTTCAACAAATTGTGGAAGAAAGTACTAGCCAGCAAGCTATGTGGGGATCCTGCTAGCTACAAAAAAGGAGTTTGAGATGAAAATGAGAGAAAGGTTAGTAATGAAGGAGAGTGGTAATTACAAGAAACATAGTAGCAGTGATACTACTGGTAGTAGTAGTAGTGGTAGTAGTAGACCAAAAAGGAAGAAGCAGAGCTTTATTGATCCAGCATTGAGAACCTCTCTGCTTGAGGATGGATTGAGCACTATGAGGGTCATTTTATGAAGAAGAAAGAGAAAAAGAAGACAATCTACTACTAGAATAAAGTTGGAACTCAATAGTAGTAGTAATACAGCGTTACACATTTTGAGAATCTATTTGTTTTACTACTAGTAGTAGTATAGAACAGGAGTCCAGAATACTAGCAAAGGATTAAGAGTAATACTTCATTAATGAGAACTGATTTTTGGAAAATATATTATGGGACTAGAGGAGAAACAAATTGGTGACAATAGCAAAAAAGTTAACATAGGAGTCTTTTTGGGGGGTCAAAATGTAATAGTAATGACAAAACAATATTTTTGTTACTATGGGTCTTGGTGAAAAATTCTCATTCATGAATGGAATTATATTTGGTGTGCATCACCACTTGTATAAATGAATTGATTTTATTGACATCACAAATAAAAATAAAAATGGTAAGTGGTCAACAGTGAGGACTAAATAGGAAAGGAATATCAGGGTATTTTTGTTGTTGTGCATGTAAAAAACATGTGTAAATTATGGTTGGGACAAACAAAAATTATACCCTAAGAAGCATCTCTTGGCCGTAGTAGCTCTACTACTAGTACTACTAGTAGCAGCAGTAGTTGTACTACTACTACTACTACTACTACTAGTACTGCTACTACTACTACTTGTATTCATTTCTCTTTCTCCTTGTTGCTGTTTTCTGGATGTTTGTTAAACTAAGAGATACAAGAACAAGGAGAATAGTACTGCTTGCTGGGCTACTACTCTTTGTGGTGTTTGAACATCAAGAAAACCTATGGGGAACCCTCATTTTGGTTAGCAACTGTCTTTTTGCACTTCTCAAGAACTATCTGAGGGCCCACCAGTAATTGACACGAATTTTAGATGGACAAATTCAAAAGGGGGGGCTGCTCTCGAGGGTTCCGACGGGCCCCCTCTTTACCGTACAGGACAACAGATGCTTACTTGTCCTACTCGTAGACGTACTTTTAGTACCCGGTACTGTCCCCAAACGTATTGAGCCTTCATTTTGCGGATGAGACGGGTACGAGTACCGTGCTCGTCCGTACCGCCCGGTACGTACTCGTACGAATATAGTACGTGAAGCACGTTTTCAAGTTCAAAAACATGTGAAATACCGTCCATACTCGGTAGGTACCGGTACGTACTTACGCTACTGTAGGTGCTGCAGATGGTGCTTTTCACCCGCATGGTTTTTTCAAGTCACGACCAAGTATTTGTGAATAACCTCAACGAAGCATTTGCAAATCCATACTTCATTTGAACTAGAACACCCGTCTGATAGCCTAACATAAATCAACCAACTGAGTTAACGGAAGGAATTTTCTATTCCATTGGATTGCTCATGAACGAGAAACGAAACAACAGAAAAACTAGCGGAACCCAAAGAAACAAAAACAAAAGATTACGGGTATGAAAACGAAGAGAATTTCGTCAAAAGACGATTCGTCTTCAGCTAGCCAGGATACAAATTCGACAGTGAGCTTATATTCAGGAAATAACAGCGTGCTTGGAAAACGGGCAGCGGATGTCCTTGCAAGTTCGGATCTCAGTGCCTTTGGGGAGCCCAAGCCGGACTCAAAGACCTTGAGGGAAATACGAGAAAGCGCAGAGCGCCTGGCTTATGAACTGAACGATTTTCTAACAAAAAATGAAGTGCCCACGACAAAGCTTCTCAAATACAACGAAGGGAATGGGTCACCTGACTTTTCTCACATGACTGATGAAGCCATTGCGGACCTTCAGCTTGCGACGGCCCGGAAGCTGCGAGAGGTAAGGTGATGATTACTCAATAGGCCAAATATATCTCGGAGCCTGTTGCCAACGCCACGGGGAATTGGTTTATAAGTAATTTACCTCAATAAATCATGAGGTACCCATTTGGCCAATGAGAAGACTCGATTCTTCTTTACATAAAATGAGAACAAGCCCCAATACAGATTTATGACGTCATCTACTTAATGTTTGAAGTCGCTTTGGTCGCATTTCCTCCTCTTTTTCCAAGACTGACAATTTTTCCCTTCTTTTCTTTTCTCAGCTTTTACCAAGGAATCGAGACTTGCTTTTTACAGCAAGAGAAAACCAATGGATTCCAATCCTACTCAACTGGTTGACTTTCCATGATAGACCAGCAGTCCAAGTGGAATCTTTGTTGGCACTTACGAATATCGCTGAGCTTTGTGCGCAACAATCATATTATCAACATACCCAGGCCCAATCTAGTGCTGTTGCAGCGGCGGCGCAGGCGGCTGCTGCTGCTGTCAAAGGTGACTCTTCTTCATCCTCATTTAGTATGTTTGGCTACAAAGATGGCCAGGCTACATATCCATATCCATCATTGGTAGCACCTGCACCAGGATCCGTCCCATTTCCGCCTCTTTCGTTTTCACAAACTCTGTCACCAGAGGCGGTGGCAAGTTTCGATGCGAGTTTGACCGCCACAATTCAGAACTCCAAAGTATTCGACAAGAGCAGCAAAGACGGCAAGTCGAGTTTTTCGTTGCCTCCAGCTCCGCTCTTTCCATCTTCAGCACAATCTTCCCATGGACTTTTCCAAAATGCCAAAGCGTCGCAAGCTGCAGGAATCAATTTCACCTCTCTCGCACCTCCTCCGGGAGGAGCCCATTCCGCTGTTCCAAATAATACATTTCTCCCGCCTCCTACCCCTGAGCCATCATTGACTTGCTTTCCACAGCAACTTTCTCCTTCCTCTCAACACCTACTGCTACGGCATGCCGATGCCATTCCGACATTAATTTCATTACTATCCAGTTCAAACAAAGAAGTATACGAACAATCAATGTGGATCCTGGGGAGCATTGCGGTTGGCGACTCACCTGGAACTTCATCGTCAGGTGGATCATCATCAAGCTCTTCTCACGAACTATCGCGAGAGAAATCTGTCTCTGCAAGAGATGTAATTTTGGCAGCAGGAGTGATGAATCAGCTACTGAGATGCCTAGAAGCACACCCGGGGAATCTTAGCCTTCAGCGCATTGGGAGTTGGACATTATCAAACTTGGTCGAAGGAATATTTCAGCAACAGAGTCATGGAAAGGGTGGTGGTAAAGCAAGTGATTATTCGAGTAGCGACGAAATCGAAATGCCCATCTTATTGCCCGTGCTCAGACGATTGCTTCGGATGGCTGATGCAGAGGTTTTGAGTTACACATGTTGGACTCTCTCTCATCTTTGTGACGGACCATCTTCACATATCGCCGAAGTAGTCACAACAAGAGATGAAAGCAACGCACCGAAGGGCGGCCTTGTACMGCGTCTCGTAGAACTACTCTTGCATCCAAGTTGGAGAGTAACGAAACCAGCACTGAGAACCATCGGTAACATTGTTTGCGCTGAATGCAGCGATGACACGAACCAGATAGGTACTGTCACAGACTACACGGAGGTCATCTTAGAATGTGGGGCCGTACCAAGATTGAAAGAACTTGTAACCCACACTAATCGCGAGATCCAGAAAGAAGCATGCTGGACGCTTTCGAATATCGCTGCAGGAACGGTCGATCAAATCCAAGCGGTAATTGATTCCGGTGCTATTCCACCATTAGTGAAACTAGTGAGAAACAAGAAGACTGACCAAGAAGTTCGTAGTGAAGCCTGCTGGGTGGTATTAAATGCTACTAGTTGTGGTAGTGATTCTCAGATTGAAGTATTGGTGGACGAAGGTTGTGTATCGGTTCTTGGCGTTCTTTTATCAGAAGCTAGTATGGTAATGATGGCTTTAGAAGGCCTTGAAAGGGTGCTTCAAGTTGAAGAGACTCGAGAAATGATAAGGAGAGAGCAAATTGAAAATGGCGAAATCAAAGACGTTCAAAAGACTAGAAACCCTTCTTTGGTAAATTCGTCTCTCATTGAAAAGGCTCGAGAAAGTCACAATAGTACCGCTGTCACAAAACGTGCCGAACGCATTTGGAAACAGCACTTTGTTTCGTGCGCCCTTTGTAAGAAATCCTTCTCAAAACATCGTCCGTCCGATGCCAGCTTCTGCCCAGAATGCAAATGCTATGTGTGCTGTAATTGCAATTGCAAGGTATATCATTTGGATTACCAAGAAGAATTGTGGGCAGAAACTGAGAAAACGGAGCAGAAAAAATCATCCAAGAAGAATAAAAATAAAAAGAAGAAAGAGAAAGCAAAGCAGAAGAAGGCAAAGCAAGAAATGAATTTAGTCACTTTTACCGAGGGGGTCAAAGAGGGCACAAGGGTTCCTCAACAAGCAGCGAAAGGTGCGGTAGGTGATCAATCTAGGTCTACTGTATCAAGCGAATCAGTTGACAAGGAACTCAAATCTACTGACGATATCCGCAGAACTACTGATTCCTCCAAGAATAGCGAACCCATCGAAGTCGATCACAGCGAAGGCCAAGACGAAAAGCAACACCAGCAACCGCCAATAGACTTCGTTCTTTACCTCCAACAAACAGGTTCCATAATTGCTTTAGCGAAATTAATGGATGCACTCGAATATGGCGAAGACTTGGACGAAGGCCTTGATGACTCGGAGCTCCAATTAATTCGGGAGCAGCAAGTGCTAAACCAGCAGCAAGCGACTACATAGTAGATTCTGTTCGCGTAGAGATTGAAAATATTATTATCTTTTTTAACAATTTTTTAAGTATATTTTCTTTTCATCTCAAGCCTTGTCATAGCATCGGCAAGGTCGGATCGATACATATCACGCACTGTAGTATCTTTCAAAAGATCATCTTCGGATTTCAACATGAGTTTTTCAAATTTTTTGTACACCCCTTTGTGTGCAAGCTTGAAGTGTTGTAAGAACAATCCGTCCTCTGCTGGCAACTGTAAATTTTGTTCACCATCTGCTACATAACAATAATGCACTCCGAGGCTCCAAACCTGTTGGGGATTATATATTTGCTTGTAACGGTAGAGAGGATATTCCGAAAGGTTCATATTGCGCCGCCAAACATAGTCAATAAGAAAAGGATTAGATGGAAAGTCGGGTTCTTTCAACCACATATTCCGCCCATAAGGTATCGAGTTCATAATTAAGCAGCTGTAAAGCAGTCGATCATATCTTCGTAAGAATAGTTCAAGAGGGGACTCGGCTTCATCATTTGTTTTGTTTGAACCTTTCGGAACATGAACATACTCATCCACATCCGTAGTGATTATCCAATCATAGCCATACTTTCTGGCGTTGTAGATGCAAGCAGACTGAGCGGGTTCTTGAGATATTTCATTCTTCTTGACATCAATATAGTGATGTGGAAAATGTGACGAGTGATTGTTTTCGGCCCAGTTGAAATTGAAAGGAATGTAAGTGATGTAAGATTGATTGAAAAGACCCGACAAGTTCCATTCTTCGTTTACATAAACCCAAAAGTGTTCCACTCCAATAAGTCGATGGTATTCAATCCACTGGGGTACAATCGATCGGTCATAATCTCCCTTAAACCGAAGACATGCACCGATTTTATTTTTTTCGTGAACTTCACTCTTTTCTTGTTCCTCAAGGCGGTCGCATTCCAGGGGCTGCTCTAAATCGTAAAAAAAAATCGAAGGCTCAACGGCGTCGTTTTTATTCTTTGTTGTATTGGTTGACCTTGAATCCTCACTTATCTGAGACTGCGGTGTTGAAGGAAGAACTCCTGTCAATGCAATTGTCACGTTTTCGGTAGTCAACGTAGTAGCGTTACACATAACAACAATTTGATCGCCCTTATCTCTTTTGCGAGGAACAAGTGTCGCTAGCTCCTGGGCTCCTCGTCGATCACTTTTTCCGTCATCATTTTCCCCATCTGTTTCATTGTAAAGACAAACCCATGGAATCAATTGAAAATCCATGATAGTTTGTTTCTGCCTGCCGTGTTTCTGGGTCAATATTGCGTACACAATATCATCTTTTGTATACTGATAATATTGACTATCCTTCGCATTTGAACTAGAGTCGTGCTTTTTCTTTCCTCGATGATGACGTATGGCGGCAACGAGAATTGGGAGTTCCATTTCAAGCCATTTATTGATCAAATGCGTGTTCTTGTCCACGTCCCACTTCAATTGACATTCCATGCTGGTATTTTGCAAGTCCGACTGTGATGTTGGTGACGAGTTTTTTCGTGTCTCTTCTTCCGATCCCCGAGATCTGCGATTCTCAGATGAATGTTCATTTTGTTCGTGTTTGTAGTCCAGGTGATGACCTGAATTGGTTTGATTCGATTGATCGTATTCTTGTAGTGGCGGCAATCCTATCGGCTGAGACTGATGTTGCACCGCCCCCAGCTCGAATGCTCTGTCTATGTTTCCCAACAAGGCAACAACCACCAACAAAAAGAATAGCTTAACTAGATTTTTAAGACTTCCGCGTCGAACACGATCGACTCGAAAACGACCTTTTCTAACTATGCTCATAAGCTTCATCACAAACGACGCTACCAAGAACGCTCCGTGACTTCACAAGTCTTTCCTCCCTCGACCGCACCCTACTAGGAGCCGGATGCAATCTTTGCTACAAACTCTGATACAAGGTTCAATGTATGCACATGCGCACATTACAATCTCAACACTTCTAGTTTAGTCTCTGGATTCACAGTATTTAGAAAATTAAACTTATGAGAATGTTGTAAGCAACAGACAGACGCAAAACGACGAAGACAACCTGAAACTATCAAACTAGTACTTGCCCACCAAACTAACAAACAGCCTTGCCCTCATTCTTGAAGTATATTCTTGCAGCAACAACGACAACAACGTACCACCATGGTGAGATGAGACTCTAGTAAGGTAGTGACGGAATACTGCTTCAAAGATTCAACCCCTTCCCCACCATTTTACTAACAGCACATGAGTAAATTTTTTGCAACCTCCAACCAACAGCAACAGCACCAAACATTGAATTGGAACCACAAAACCATGAACCTGCTATTCCAATACAATGCTATTGCAGCCTATGCTGTACTAGATCTAAGTCCTAGTAGTCAAATGTTTATTTTGGCAACCTTCTTTGATCAAACTCTAAGAAATACTAGAATGTAAATAACAAGCTACCTATGACATAACAAAGGGCGGTACAGTAGCACTGAGCTACATAGACCCAAGTGTCTTGTGGTACCCTAGCAGCACGGTACTACAGAAGAAGGAGAGACAAGGCTACAACAGCTCAGACTAAGTACAGTTGGAACAAGCATACTAGTAGTACTTAGAGTAGATTTCCAGTAACAGTTCAAATGCTGTTCTGTACAGTACAAGTATTGCAGGTTCTGTCTTGCCATGTTTCTTGCATAAAAATTTGGCAACCAGCTATGGTGGTAACTTTGGTGAGCTGGTTCTAGTAGGCCTCTACTAGTAGTAGAGCATCCTATGGGTTCCAAATGACACAGGCATCTGAGTTATTATATCAATAAGGACTGGTGGGCTCTTAGTCCAGTGGTGCACAGTTGTTTTGGGTCACTTGCTAGCCTATTTTGTAACTCACAGTAGGAGCTGATCTCAAAAATGGCAAAATTTGGTGGTTGTTGTTGTTGTTGTTGTAAATCCAACTTGGACAATTGATACGAGACTTTGGGATCCCTTCTCCCTTATTATAATGGATAGAATGTGGCACTTGTTTAAATTGGAGTAAGCAAGCAATGTCGTTGTTTTAAAGGGTAAACATCAGCTGCTGCTTTCTTTGAGATTTTTTGCCATTTTTGCTGCAAGTTGAATGCAGCTATTTTCTTCTAAACCATTTGGTTGATCAATCTGAGACTTCCGGATCCACCTCTCCTTGTTATAATGAAGTTATTCCGGTGGGTGGGTGGACTGGAAAGTGCTGTTTAATGGTCTATCTAGTGGGTGAGACAGGTCCTTTTCCTTGAGTTTTTTTTTATGGGAAATTCTGAATTGTCAGTGCACAGAATAATCAACAAGTCAGAAAAGGTTCTCTGGCAAAAAAAAAACAATATGCACTTGTATGGAAAGAAGAAAGAAAACCCTTTCTAACTAACAGACTCTCTTATTCTGATTGGTGCTTTGGTAGCAAGCAAGCAAAGATTGCTGCTGATTATTAAAACTGTATCTTGGATTTGGTCCACACGTTTGGGTTCCTAGTACATTGTACTGCTGCATAGTAGCAGCTGCAGCAGATAGTAGCAGCGACAGCAGCAGATGGTTCCTCCTTTGTTGTTGGGGGGATTGCCTCCTGATTGCTTTGTGGATCTGGCAAATGAACTACAAGCACTGGCCTCCTCCAATATAGGGGAATGGGCTCTTATCCCTCCCTGGTCCCTTCCTGGATCCAGAAGATGAACTACAAGCGTTGCCTCCTATGATATAGGGGAGCAGGCACTTTTCCTCCCTGGATGCTGCTTTTTTAATAGCAACAACTGGGCTGAATTTGTAATTCTTATACAAATTTTCCATAAGATTCTACGACAAAAATAGAAATCAAGGCACTAGTAGTAGTAGTAGACTGCAAAAAATTGTTATTTTGTGAGCAAAATCCAATCTTTTATCACTTTGCACTTTTGGTTCAGTTTTTTTTTCATTTAATGTGCTTGGCTTGTGAGGAACCTTCCAGAAACAATATTATTAAGTAACCTACTAGAATACTGCTGACACATCAGGGCGCAGCATCAAATCAAATCTACTAATCATTAGTATATTATACATCAGCATTGCTATAGATAAATCAAAGGTATTTTTCACCCTTCCATTTTGTTATGCAGCTGACATTTTGCTGGGTGCTGAATACCCTCATGCTTCAGCAGCAAGCTCAGTTCTCATAGCAACAATCAAGTCCTTATTGTTTGATGCTGTTTGCTACAATTGAATTGCTTACATAAGAAGACACATTGATTAACCCTAGTATGACCACTGTTGGTGGTGGTGCATTGTCTACATTGTTGTTAGAAGCTTTAGTTTGTTCCAGGAAGACTCCTGGCTGCCTTTCAAGGGAAACAATCTTGGCATTCTCCCATTCAAGCTCATTTTGCTTGTACTTGCCTTTCCCCCTTGAATGCCAATCTCAAGTTTCTTCTCCTATCGTATAGGCTTGGCCAGCCAATGTACAGTTATAACCTTGGATTCGTGGCCATCTTTTTGCGTGTAATGACTACTTTGACTAAAAATTATATACATACAAAATCCACGTGCTCAGTATACAAAATCCATGTGCTCAGTACGTACTCGTACGTAATCGAATTTTTGAATCCCACCAAAATAGTTTCGCTCGCACGTGCACGATGTAGTAGCCCTGGTACAAGTCAAATTTTAATCCCACGAGTCGTTACACGGGGAAAAGATGGCCACGAATCCAAGCATATGTATAATTTAACCGCATAACTGCTTTAGTCCCGAACTGATAGTTTGGGCAATAACTTTTTCCCCAACGGACGCTTAAGTATGATAAGCACATGGTTGAAAAGAGAATTCAAAGAGCTTTCGAATGGCTTGGGGGAGTACGGCGTACGACGAATATTGACTTATATTCGTTTATGTATATCTTTAATTGCCAATGTACGGTTATAACCGTGTTTTTTTGCTTGGCCCACCCTATACGATAACTCACTGGTGAGCACAGTAATCTTGTTGTTAAGATCTGAAATTATCTTATTCACTTCATCAAGTTTCTTTGTCAGGTAGGTACAGTTTTTTTTGTTGCTGATGCTTCTTTCGGGGGGGGGGGGGGGGACAAGAAGCTTCTTCCTGCTTGTGCCTTGCTGATTTCTTGAGCTCCTCAAGGGGTGCAACTTTCAAATCAGTTCCTAGAAATTTTTACTTGATGGAAGAGGAGGAGCTACTATCGTTGACCCTTGAAGAGGAGGAGGAGCTACTGTTGCCAATGCTTTTTTCTTCTTGTTGAAGCCAGTGTGAAGAGTGCTTTGTTGCACTCTGGCTCTGCTGAATTGAAGATGACTTGGCACTCTAATGCCAAAGATGGTTCATCTTGAGTTTCTCTGGCACATTTGCATCAGACGCCAGCACAGTACAGCAGCAACACCAATTATCATGAGGAGTAAACTTGTCAGCATCCTTGTGTCCAGCTTCTTTTGCAACTTCCTTTATCCACTTCCTTACTGTATCTTGGCAGACCAACATTGCTGCCTCCAAGTAATATGGATTGTCCTTGGATCTGTTTTCTCTCCCACAGCAAAGGAGCCTCTGTTGATTTGGATGGCATTGATCCCAAAAGTTGTTGAGAAGCTTGACAATACAGTATGGATTAATTTTGTCCTCAACTGCCATTGGGAACACCTTATTCACAGTTGGATTGCTCAAACTGAGCTGATTCCCCTTGTCAAAGTCTCCACCAAGGGGAATGATGACATATTGATTGCTCTCTATTTTTCCATGGGAGAAGCTTCCAAGCTTATTAAATTGCCATTCAAGGAAGACAATTTCATCCCCCCCCCTGAGTCCAAACTGTATTCCAAGCTCCATTGTGCTTATCTTCAGCAGGTCTTGCATGTTTTTGTAAGGCTTGCACACACTGGTTTCAAGCAAGTTCATAAACTTGGCATCCCCAAACTCATCAAATGCAGCCATTGTCCTCTTTGTTCCTAGTAGTGTTGGATCTGCAGCTTGCTTCTTGTTGAAGTCAAGCTTAACAGCACTAAGGAATGGCCCTTCCCTTTGAAATCAGCTTCATTGAACTGAATCCCCTTCTTGGTAGAAGGCAGAGAAGAGCACATGGACATACACTGAATGAGTATTTGTATCCAGTGGATCTTGAATCTTTGCATTCTTGATATTGAGTGTCCATATTATGAGGGCTTCTTGATTCATTAGAGTTTTCTTGAGGGCATCCAATTTACCACCCACACTCTTGTAGAATAAACAGTCTTCAGTTAATTGATCATTCATAGGAACCTTCTTGGTGAACATCTCATACATCACTTTGTCTCCTGGAGTGATGGGGGCACAGGAGCCCACAGTGATCCCTTGGTTGGAGGATACTGATTCATTCAAGTTGGATGACTTGGATGATCCTGATGTGGAGGATCCTACTGTGACGGATTCACCAAACACTGCAACAAGCACAGCAGCTAGCTGGGCTGCTGGGAATGTTGCAGCACCTAATACAAACAAAGCTTCAGAAGCAGCTAACACTGAGGACGCAGCTTAAGCTGCAACCACAGTCAACATTGCTTCAAAGCATCCTCAGGATGCTTTTTTGGCAGCCTCTGGAGCTGCCTCCGCAGCTCCAATGAAAACAACATCTCCAGAGGCTCGCCCGGCGCCTCCTTTGAAGACTTGCTCCTCTGCCCCTTCAAGACAATTGCATTTAAGGGCTTGTGTCGCTGAGGCTTCTTTGCATGCAACTATTGCTGCTGGAGAGGCTTCTGCTGAGGCTTTTTTGAATACAGCAACCATCGCTACTATGACACCTTGCTCGGCACCAACTTTGGAGGCTCATTTGGAGGCTCCTTTGTCTGCAGCAAATAATGCTGATTCAATGCCTTGCACACTGCCTCATTTTGAGGCTCAGTTCACACTGCCAAGGCAATTGACTACTACATAATTGGATTTAAGGGTTTGGGCTAAGAGATGTGGACAACAACAGAGATGGAAGAGAAGGAATGAGGCCCATTATCATCCAGAGGCTGAAATCAGGACTGTGGAAGAGGTGCAGGCAATCAATGCGGAGAGAACGGTAACAAGGGCAGCTCCCCCTCTGCAACATGCCAACACACCAAGGCCTCCAGAGTCACCACCTTCTACTCATACCACCACAATTTGGCCGGATCTTCCAGTTCCAGATGAGGGGGCAGACCTCCCAGAATACGTGCTCACTGAGGCAGATTCCAAACTGAAGGAAATCTATGGAGATCACGTTCACAGCAACCCCGGCACTCACCTCACTGGTGCTATTGCTGATGATGCAGCAATGGAAACAGATTGTCAATCAACATCAGACCAAGATGGTACCTAGTCCCAGAGAACCACGTGGGGAGAATGTTTCTCCAGAGATTTTGCGCAGAGCTGAGGAGAGGAGTGCGTTTGAGAGGAGAGTGGAATTCCAAGCGTCACCTGGTATTTGTGGCAGTTATCCTGCAGGAAGCACATGGAGTGAAAAAGGCTAGTGACATCCAAAGCCTAATGGAACAATGGATAAACCATTGGGACGCCGGAAACTATGGTCCTCTCATACTAGATGACCTTGTTGATGCCCAAGCCCATCTTCGTGATGGACCTACTAGTACTAGTACTACTAGTAGTAGTACTAGTATCACCCCCAAGACCAATGACCAAGCTTTTCAGGCCTTCAACAACAAGCTGCTGTTGGGTTGCAGCTTGAGATGTGTGTACTTACGTCACAAGCAAAAAATAACTGGTGTTTGTTTGTGTTAGTTTTTTGTACCAGTGAATTAATAGAGCTTGTGTGCTGGTTACGTGTAATAGAGAAGCTGCTAGTACTTGTTTTCGGTTACGATCTACTTCTACCATATACGTACCACTTCTACTAGTAGGCACGTCTGGTCGGACAAAATAGGGTTTTGAGTTTTCGGGAATGACACACCGATTACTCTAACTCGTGATTGAATCTTCTCCAACCATTGCTCACTGTGGGGAGTTTCCCGTTCTCTGATGAAATGAAAAAACAACAAATCAAAACAAGCAATACAAAAGAATAATACTACCGGTAATGTGCGCTACCGTACATAAGGTACCGTACTCTGCTAAATTGTACGTAATCATTGATCTGTTGTTAAAGAATTCTACTCCCAAATTACGGAAACAGGTTCGATTGCTGTGGAAGTCTGAGTATTGGAAACCTGTGCTCAACATACACTTTTGTTTGGTCAACCTGCAATCTCGGTGATTTTATTCACTACGACTCAGACAACCCAATAGCTTTTTTCACGATACAAAAATTGATCAATATAAGAGCAATGCCTAGGTCGGAACCCCGTCGTCGGGGACGGAACAAAGGAGATGATACGAGGGATTCTGCTGGGTCCCCATCAAAGACTTCCAATGGAAGTAGCATGTCGAGCTTTCGAGCTCCATTGATTCAATGGTCCGAAGAAGCTTCTACCTGGTATGAGTATGGGAAGGACCTCCCTGGAAGAGACGATGTTCTAGAGACAATGTCCCAGACTTCACCAGCACTGATTCGGCGCTACCGATCTATCGCCGATTCGATTTTTGCAAACGAGCTGAGACTCTACAAACAAAGCAACACATCATCTTCGGACGAGCAATGGGTCGAAAATACGATTAGAAAAGGTACATTGAAGGATAGAATTGCTGCAATGAGCGTCACATTATCTACGGACCCCGTTCATAAGTTCTATGCTTTGGATGGATTGATGAGCATGGTTGGATGTTCATCCTCGTCCAATGAAGGTGGGAAGACGAATTCTCGTGTAGCTCAGTTAACTTCGGAGGCATTAGAAGATTTATTCATCAATACACTACTGCCTCCAAATCGGAAACTTCTCACATTGGCCCAGCGTCCACTATCTCGGTATGAAGATAAGGGAGATGGGAGTGATCTCATGGGCCACGAGGCGGGAAATGGTAAAAAGAAGAAGAGCAAATCGTCCAAGGGGAAAAAATCGCTCTCTCCTCGGATATTATTATTGTGGAGATTTGAAGAGATGGTAAAGGAGAAGTACGAGTTGTATCTTCGCCAGTACATGGCCCAAACATTGCAAGATGGAGTTCAACTGCAAAAAATAGCGACCTTGCGATCGGCAGGAAATCTCTTGGCGTCGATGCCAGAAGGAGAAGTCCAGCTTCTAAATATGATGGTAAATAAGCTTGGAGACCCCGACAAGAAGACTGCCGCAGCGGCTGGACATCAATTAAGGCTCGTCCTGCAACAGCATTCGAACATGCAAAACATTGTAGCTCGTGAAGTGCAACAACTGGCCCATCGTCCACAATTGGCTCCGAAAGCGCTCTACAACTGTATTGTTTTTTTGAATCAGCTTCAACTCAAACGTTCCGAACCAATCGATGACAGTACCAACGCAAACGCTTTGCAAACCTATTCCTTACCTGCTTCTTTAATCAAGACATACTTCCGGCTATTTGAAGTGGCAGTTCAACAAAACAAGAAGTCGTCGTCAAAAACTGAATCCGCCGGCACAATGAAAAGTCGTTTGCTATCAGCTCTCTTGACAGGTGTCAATCGTGCACACCCATACCTCCCGGAAAAAGACAAAGATATGGAAGAGCATGTGGATGCCTTGTACCGCATAGTGCATACAGCCCCGCCAGCAGCTTGCACTCAGGCACTCATGCTTTTGTTCCATTTGGCAGTCGGATCAAAAGTAGAAATTGAAAGCTACGAAGAAGATCAAAAGAGCGAAGATCAAATGGGACAGAAATTGCGTCAAAAGGACCGTTTCTACCGAGCTTTGTATTCCACACTGGGGAGGAGAGAAATGGTATCGAGCGGAAAGCATCTGACGATGTATTTTAATGTCTTGTATAAGGCCATGAAATATGACTCTAATATCAATCGAGTCCATTCGTTTGCAAAGCGTCTATTATTGGCTGTAATGCACGCTCCTGCCCCATTGATTGCTGCGAGTGCATATTTGCTTCAAGAAATTTCTATTGCCCACGAAGGACTCTGTCAGTCATGGGAAGAGATTCCGGATCCCGAGAGTGACTCTTACCTAGTCCTTGATGACAGCAAGAGAGAACCTAAAGCTGGTATTGTCAACTTCAATGATGAAAATACTGGTGGACATCGGAAAGACACGCCACAAGGTGAAGAAGTACTGCCTCAAGGTAATCCACCCTGCTGGGAAATTTCCCTGTTGGCTCATCATTTTCACCCTTCTGTTTCCAAATTTGTAAACGACATAGGTAAGATTGATTACGGTGGCGATCCTCTTCAAGATTTTGGTTTGGCGCCATTTTTGGACAAGTTTGCATACCGGAATCCAAAATCTCAAGAAAAACTGAAACAAAAGAGACAGCTAACTGGCAGTCGAACTGGTAACCGCAGATCCTCGAATTTGAAGGTGAGATTGGAATTGCCGATGAACGATCCCAGCTTTTTGGAAAAGACCGACGTCAATGAACAAGACGCATTCTTCCATCATTTCTTCATGGAGCGAGCTCGCCGGGATGAATTAAAAGGAATCACACGAAACAAAACACAATCCACAGGCGCCGAGGATTCCGATGACGACAGTATGGACGCGGCTCAGGATCAAGCCTTTGATACTGCCGAGGTATCTGGGGGCTTGGATTCAGGAGGTAAATCGTTTGAGGAGTATGAAGCAATGTGGGAGACGGATGATGAGGAAGAAGCGTTCGTTGACTCTCTGGCAATGTCTCTGATGGAAGATGCTGCTGGTGGTCCAGCAGATATCGACGACGACCCAGTAGATATCGACGGGTGGGGAGATTTGTATGCTGATGAATCAGACGAAAAGGGCGACGAATCGGATGATGAATCTGAGAAGGGAAACGATAGAGATAAGAAAGGCAAAAATTCCTCAAATAGAAAACCTCTTGGCGAAGACTCCGATGAAGATGCTTTCATGGAAGAAGCAGACTCAGATTCTGATTCAAAAAGTGATGAAGAAGAAATTGACATTGATGAAGAGGCACTAATTGCTGGGGCTGGGGCTATTGATGAAGAAGGAGACAAGAGCCATGACGACGACGATGAAGACGAACTCGGGATGTTCCTCATCGATGACGAAAGCGATGACGAGGAAGACGAGCCTGCGCCTGCAACTAAGTCTGAAAAGAAACGAAAGAAAGGGGCTGCTGACCTCTCTATTTTTGCCGATGCTGACGACTACGAAGCAATGATAGACAAAAGTTTCAACGAGTTGAAAGATGGCGCGCAAAAGGAGCTGAATGCTATCGAACACAAAACATCAGAAAACGAGTCTTCGCCTTCAAAAAATAAGAAATCGAAGTCGAGAAAAAAGAGGAAAAAATCATTTTAAGAGGCAACTAACTATGTAATTGTTTCAATTGGTTGTGACTATTTCTTCTGATATTGATATGATTGTACTGCATTTCTTAGGTCTACATGTTTTGTTTGCCTTCAAATGGATTTGCTACATCACCCTCCCTTCAATGTGTCATCTTGAATCTCTGATCAATAAAACAAAATACTTAAATTGAGACATCAGCAGAATGAAAATTTTCCAAAATGCAGATTTCTCATGACCTTTTCCCTTTTGGCATGCAAAGAGGTCTGGAAGACTTGATGTGATCTTCTAAGTGGTTTTTGCTGCTTTTGACCAGATTTGGCACTTGAGAACAAGTTTCAAATGACAGGAATGGAGCATATTTCCCTTGCTTAGGACATTATTTTCCTGTGCTTTGAATGGAGTATGTAGTATATGTTGTTTAGATCAGATGTATCACCCAGTAATTCTCCTTGCTAGTTTTCAATCTTATACCATAATTCCATTGGGGTAGAAGGAATACTAGTACTAGTAGCAATGCTAGGCCTCTAGAACTACTACTACTTCTTCTTCTCACCAAGCACTAGTAGATCTTTGAATAGCTTAAATACAACAACAAACTCATTACTGCTTCACAATAATTTCTATCTAATATTAGTTGGGAGATGCATAGTAGTAGTTTTATTTCAAGAATAAACTCCACATTGTATGTTTCTTGTTACTCCTTTCTTGATATTTTTTCTATCCATAAGAAGCAATATCATTGTATGATACTAAATTCACCTTCATTTAACAAGCCATTCTGATTCAAAAGAGGAGTACAGCAGCAAATTTTTCATTCCTCTCTGATGATAGTAGTAAATTTTGAGGGATACCATCTCTGGACTAAAATAGTTTTGGACTGTGCTGGCCTAAAATAAAACGTTTTTGTTCAATCATAGATTTTACACATAATACGCAGTCCAGCATGGTTTAATTCAAATGCATAATCAGCTGGTGGAGGAAGAATTGATTTGTATTGTTAACTCATCATTTTTTCTTGTTCTTCTACTGCTGGTTACAGACACAACTGTCCAAATATCCATTATTGGCAAACATGAAAAAAGCAAAACATCACTTGGCTACCAACAATACTAGTCAAGTTCCTTCATACTATCATCTTTTGCTCCAAGAAACATTAACTCTCATTGGTTTTGGGAACTTGCTTTTCTCTGGTGTCAACCATCAGTCTAATACMCTGAACAACACTTTACTAGAGAAGAAATGGATAACACTTTTTATCCATTAAATGTCCTTAACTACTGTAGATCCTTTTCTTTTTTGGCCTTCTGAATCTTGGGGAGAAGTAGATACAAAATGGCAAAGATGAATCATTTACTCCTATTCATGTGTAAATCTGTATATTACACCCATGCAGAAATCACAATTCACCACCCAGCAAGTATGAATGCAATGATGCCTCCTTCATCAAGTGCCATGATGGGTGAACTTTCAGAAAACAGTGGAGGGAACAATTTTCTATTTGAATAATCTTGCTGAGAAAAAAGTAACTATGAAACAACAACACCACATCAAAGGTCACAGAAGCAAAAATAATACTCTGTATCCAATGTGACCACATTAGACAAAACAATCTGCACTTTACCTCTTTGCTAGTACCACAATCATGAAGGGTTTGGTGAAGTGAAAAATAGACCTAAAAGTTCTGCTTTCCATATGTCCCATTTGTGAAACTTTGCATCATGATGCATTAGAATGCCAAAATCAGTACTAAATTATCACAAGAAATAAACTACAAGACGCAATGCACTAGTAGTAGTAGTCAGAAAACTGACAAGTAAAGGAGTCAACTGAGGAGCAATTAGACAGTTACCAACAGGAGTATACTATGTCAGCAGTGGCTGATACTAAGAGCTTCAAACACTCTTCCAAAATGAAAATAAACATTCCTTCTGTCAGCAATCACCATGAAAACTTCTGCAATCCCAAGCACTGTTGATAAGAAGTCTTCTTGTGCTCTCCTGATATCACAATCGTTATGCCCCTGTCTTAGTATCAAAGAAAGAGTGATCAGAAACTAACTCTGATCTACTAGTATGAATGCAACAGCCACTGTTCCCTTAGTAAAAGCCACCATCTGATCCAAAACATTTTGATATGATGTAGTAGGTAGTACTAGTAGCACTATTGCTGATGCACTGCGCAGACAATGGTACTGATACTAGTATGAGTGGCAGGTAGAGTAGTAGTAGTAGTAGTAGTAGTAGTAGTAGTAGTAGTAGTAGTAGTAGTAGTAGTAGTAGTAGTAGTAGTAGTAGTAGTAGTAGTAGTAGTAG